TCTTTCTTTCTTTCTTTCTTTCTTTCTTTCTTTCTTTCTTTCTTTCTCTCTCTCTCTCTCTCTCTCTCTTTCTCTTTCTCTCTTTTTCTTTCAATTTATTCACTTTGTATCCTGGTTGTAGCCCCCTACCTCTTCTCCCTCTATGTTCCTTCTCTAGTCTCATCAGGGCTGGCTGCATCATCTTCCTCTGTGACCTGGCAAGGTTGCACCTCCCCTCAACCCCCAGGGAAAGGTAATCAAACAGCCAGCCACTGAGTTCATGTCAGAGACAGCCCCTGATCCCCTTACTAGGGAACTGTCTTGGAAACTGAATAGCCTATGGGCTACCTCTGAACAGAGGGTCATAGGTCCTTTCCATGAATGGTCCTTGGTTGGAATATTGGTCTCTGCAAGCCTCCCTGGGCCCAGGTATTTTGGCTCTGTTGATCTCCTTGTGGAGTTCCTGTCCCCTCCAGGTCTTTCTATCTCCCTCTTCTTCTATAAAGTTTCCTGCACTCTGCCCAAAATTTGGCTATGAGTCTCAGTCTCTCCTTCTATACCCTGATGGGTGGAGTCTTTCAGAGGTCCCCTGTGGATGGCTCCTGTCCTATTCCTTGTCTTCTCCTACTTCCAATGTCTATCCTTTTTGCCCTTTTGAGTGAGGTTTCAGCCTCTTCCCTGGGGTCCTCCTTGTTGTTTAGCTTCATTGGAGCTATAGATTTTAGTTTATCCTATATTATATGGCTAATATCCACTTCTAAGTGAGTATATACCATATGTGTCTTTCTTCTTCTGGGATACCTCACTCAGGATGATCTTTTTTAGTTCTCACCATTTGCCTGCAAATTTCATGATTTCCTACATCTGACAAAGGGCTAATATCCAGAATATGTAAAGAACTCAAGAAGTTAAACATCAACAAAACAACTAATCCAATTAAAAATAGGGTACGGAGATAAATGGAGAATTCTCAATAGAGAGCTACTGAATGGCAGAGCATTTCTTTAAGTGCTTCTCTGCCATTATAGTTTCCTCTATTGAGAATTATTTGTTTAACTCTGCACTATAGTTTTAATTGGGTTATTTGGTTTGTTGGTGTTTAATTTCTTGAATTCTCTGTATATTTTGAATATTAGCCCTCTATCAGATGTAGGGTTGGTGAAGATCTTTTCCCATTCTGTACACTGCCTTTTTGTCCTATTGATGGTGTCCTTTGCCTTACAGAAGCTTTTCAGTTTTACGAGGTCTCATTTATTAATTGTTCTCTATAGTGTCTGAGCTGTTGGTTTTCCGTTCAGGAAGTTGTCTCCAGCAGAAATGTGTTCAAGGTTATTTTCCACTCTCTCTTCTATTGGATTTAGTATATCTATTTTATGTTGAGATATTTAATCCACTTGCACTTGAATTTTGGGCATGGTGATAAATACCAACATATCAGAATTCTTCAACATGCAAACACCCAGTTAGAATAGCACCATTTGTTGCATATACTATCTTTTTCCATTGTGTGGTTCTGGCTTCTCTATCAAAAATTAAGTGTCTGTGGGTATGAGAGTTTATTCCATTGATCAGTCTGTCTGTTTTTATACCAATACCATGTGTTTTTAAATTACTATTGCTTTGTAGTATAGCTTGCAGTCAGGGATGATGATACTTCCAGAAGTTCTTTTATTGTACAAGATTATTTTAGTTATCCTGGATCTTTTATTTTTCCATATTAAGTTGAGGATTGTTCTTCCCAAGTCTATAAATAATTGTGTTGGAATTTTGATGGGAATTACATTGAATATGTAGATTGCTTTTGGTAATATGGCCATTTTCACTGTGTTAATCCTACCAATCTATGGACACAGGAGTTCCTTCCATCTTCTGATATCTTCTTCAATTTTTTTTCTTCAGAGACTTGAAGTTCTTGTCACATAAGTCTTTCACTTGCTTGGTTAGAGTGACAGCAAAATGTTTTATATTTTTTGTGACTATTCTGAAGGGTCTTATTTTCCTAATTTCTTTCTTAACCAATTTATCATTTGCATAAAGTAGGGCTACTGATTATTTTTAAAGCTAATTTTGTGTTCAGCCACTTTGTTGAAGGTGTTTATCAGCTGTAGGAGTTCTCTGGCAGAATTTTTGGCGTCACTAACATATACTATCATATCATCTTTTAACAGCAATACTTTGACTTCTTTTCAAATTTGTATCTTCTTGATCTTCTTTAGTTGTCTTATTTCTCTAGTTAGCACTAGATATGGAGAATGTGGGCAGCCTTTTCTCATCCCTGATTTTAGTGGAACTGCTTTAAGTTTCACTCCACTAAATTTGATGTTGGTTAATTGCTTGGTGTATTTTTCCTTTACTATATTTAGGTTTGTGCCTTGTATCCCTGATCTTTCTAAGAAAAAAAAAATACTTATTTAATTTATTTATTCACTTTACATCCCTATCACAGTCCCTTTCCTCCTTTCCTCCCAGTTCCACCTTTCTCTCCCCTTACCATATTCTTCAAAAAAGAGGAGCCCCAACCCCCCCAGCCTCCAGTTTATCAAGTTGTATCAGTACTGAGCCTGAGTACATCTTCTTCGCTTGCAGCCTGGTCAGACAACCCTGCTAGGAGGAAGTGATCAAAAAACAAGCAGTAGAGTCCATCTCAGAGATAGCACCTGCTCCCCTTACTAGGGAAGTCACGTGATGCCTGAGCTACCCATAGGCTACATCTGTTTAGGAGGCCTAGGTCCAGTCTATGCATGGTTCTTGGTTGGCACTCCAGTCTCCACAATCTCCTCTGGGCACTGTTTAGTTGGCTCTTTTATTTTCCTTGTGGAGCTCCTGTTATCTCCAGATCCTTCTATCCTTCCCCCCTATCTTTTACATAAGACTCCCTATGTTCACCCAATGTTTGGTTGTGAGTCACAGCATTTGTTTTAATCTGCTGCCTACAAGATGAGCAGAGATGAAGATAGAGCAGAGACTGGGGAAATGTCCAACAATGCCTGTCCCAACCTGAGACCTACTCCACAGGAGAAAGCCAACCTCTGACACTATTAATGATATTCTCCTATGCTCACAGACAGGAGCCTAACACAGCTGTCCTCTGAGAGGCTCCACCCAGCAGGAGATTAAGACAGATGCTGAGTCTCCAAGACTTTTAACATTAAGGGGTTTGGGGTTTTGCCAAAGGCTTAGGACTATAAAATAACTCAACGAAAACCTAAAATTATTTATCATCAGAAAGAGGATATAACAAGTTATCATGAATACCATGAGCAATAGAACTTCAAGTAAGATTTAGCCTATCAGGAATACCACATACTGAATTGCAAGATGTTGTTTAAGGGACAGAAATGTATAAACTAGCTCAATAATGTTTATCACAAATGGTCAGGTTACAAGTATTAAAATAAATATGATATATTTGGAGAGAGGGTTATTATCTTGGAAGATACAGTTAAAGAAATAACAGAATGTTTCAGAAAGATTATAGATAAAAAATAAAAGAAATGAAGATACATTGATGATAAAATGAGATTTAATTTATGTTTAATTGGAGTCTAGGAGGAAAATATAGCAATAATGGAGAAAAGACAATTATAGAGAATTTTATCTATTTATTTATTTTTATTAATTCTACTTTATTTACTTTGTACCCCCCCCCGTAGTTCCCTCCCTTCTACCCTTCCAAACCCTCCCTTCCTACTCCTTCTCCACTCATGCCCCTCCCCAAGTCCACTGATAGGGGAAGTCTTCTTTTCCTTCCTTCTGATCCTAGTCTATTAGGTCTTATCAGGAGTGGCTGCATTGTCTTCCTCTGTGGCCTGGTAAGGCTACTCCCCGCTCAGGGGGAGGTGATCAAAGAACAGACCAATCAGTTCATGTCAGAGACAGTCCCTGTTTCCATTACTATGGAACCCACTAGGAGATTGAACTGTCGTGGGCTACATAATGTGTAGGGATTCTGGGTTATCTACATGCATGCTACTTGGTTGGAGTATCAGTCTCAGGGAAGACCCCTGTGCTCAAATTTTTTTGTTCTGTTGCTCTCCTTGTAGGGCTTCTGTCCTCTCCAGATCTTGCTATTTCCCACTTTCCAACAACATGGCTGTTTTGGCAAGGGATCACATCAAAAGACCTTCTAGGTCTGTATGATTTGGCTGGAATGCAGACATGCCCTGGGTTACAGTATGCTCTAGCTGGAATGCAGAAACACCAGTAGGACACACCTTTTATCTCTAACAATGAAAGTGAGGTTAGTTTGTACAAGGAAGCAGCCATGTTTTTAAGAGATGTATAACTGAGGGGCAAAGGGACCAATCAGGAAAATATTTGACAAAATGACTCAGAGAAGGATATGACCAACTCACGCGAGAACAGCATGGAAAAGAGAGGAGGAAGGAGGGTTCTATAATACACTAAAGAGTCAGGTAAGACTTCATAGTTACTACAATCAGATAAGACCTCACAGTGACTGTATTTGACATTTGAAAGTCTATAATCTTGGATGGCCAGCTGATGTTCAGGTTTGTGCAAAATCATATACAACTAATATGTACTGTCTAAAACCAGAAGCCTTTGATATTTGGACTTCATGGTTCTTAACAACTGAGGTTTGAATCAGAAATATTTAACATCTTTTTTATTTGTTTCTTTATCCTTTTCTTTCTTTCTTTCTTTCTTTCTTTCTTTCTTTCTTTCTTTCTTTCTTTCTTTCTTTCTTTCTTTCTT